CAAAGAAAAGTTCTTTAAAAAATTAAACAAATGGCGTTTGAGTGGGAAGATTCGAAGTGCATCAAGAATGACGACTAGGGAAGTAGTGTTGTGTGTGTTGAATGGGACATTTTATAAATTAAAATATCCGTAAAAATATTATCACGTATTCTAAAAAATAAAATGCTCACCCATATTAACAGACCAACTTTTCATTTTAAGTCATTTAACTATGAGCGAACTATTTACTACATTAAAGATGTAGGCAAATCAATAGCCTAAGAGAATATGCATTACAAAAACATAATCATAAATAAAGCCAACAGAAATTCAATATTAATTATGTAGTGTAGAATTGCATCAATGGACCGATCGAACAATATCATATGGGGATATACATGACTAGCATCTATAAAAAGCATTGACTATAAAAATTAAAAGATAAATAGTATGATACTGACTGCAGAAATGACAGGAATCATTTCCAGTGTTGCAATATGAAGTGGAGCCAGACCATTATCGTCTAAAGTGTTGGGATCGATGTTATATGAAAGAAGTGTACGCGCAGTTTCAAGATAACGCTCGGCAGATTGGTCAGCCAAAAGATGTAGACATGACTGATTCTCAGCGGTGACAGCTGACAAGGATGAACCAGATCGAATTAGAAGATCAGCGATGCAACTTCTGCCGAGAAGGCACGCCTGGAGATATAAATTTTACGAGTACCCAAATAGAGAAATAGGAAACGTGATAAATGGAATGAAAATAATAAACAAATTTATAAAATATGCAAAAGATGTGCACCGATATTCACAAAATAAAATTTAGACAAATAAACGACTTCAAACCTGGTGCAATGGATATCGCGGAGCATCAGGGACATGAATGTCTGCACCTGCCTTAACAAGTATTTTGACCATTTGCAAGTGCCCGAGTTCGACGGCCAGGTTGAGAGGACATACTCCATCGATAACCATGCTGGGATTAACATGATTTGGGTAGGTCAAGAGATACTGAATAGTTTCAACGTTGTTGCTACGAATTGCGCCTCTTAGTAGCCATGGTATCTGAGCTTTGCTTATCCTAGGCTTGTGTCGCTGTTTTGAGTATTTTGAACCCATCTATCAAGCTTTAAAAGCATATGACAAGTGCGCGACACAATGAGAAAAGGATAAATGGCCACGAGGCATAGCAGATAAATGTATAGACGATGGGACAGTCATGAAATATTCAATGTCAGCACCTATGGCGCCTTAGACAAACATAATTTCATATTTATGATTATTGAAACCGGTTAACCTGGGATTCATATTTTCTAATTTTTAGTTATTATAAAGTATGTAACGTTATTTGCCAACCTTGATTATTGGAGCAGTGAAATATTATGACAGATCAATGTATTCCTTATCGAAAAATAGTCTCGGTAACCTAGGTGCAATCGCTTATTCGAGATATAAAGGAAGATTCACCGATTAGTGGACTTTTTGTGTACTTCTTAATTTATCCATTAATCGTTTTTAAATGGTTATCATCGCAACCAAATCTAATTTGCCAACATGTTATGTCAATTATATGATCTGTTTTTGCCCTGTTTTATATAAGCTTCCATAAAGCTCTGATAAATCATCTTCTGCCATTCCAGGTACCCCTGCATGCATTATACTTTATATTTTATCACAAACAAGCCCTCTTTGTATGGACGGAAAGGCGTAATTATAGTTTAACGTTCAATTAAAAAATTTTCATGGTCATGAAATTTTGCTGAAGGTCCAGCTAATGTTTTATTTTACCCAGCACTTGACTTTTATATAGTTATTGTGGCTCAGTATCCCATTACGCAGGATAAGTTTGTTGGAAGAAATTAGTGAAAGCTTTTGGATTGTGCGAACAAGTAATCGTCATACTGTCCTACGACTCCGATGAACCTGTGCTACTCTTTCGTCTATCATGGGACAGACATCGGCAGATCAAGAATCTATACTTTTTGAACTAACGCATTACTATAATGAAACAACAGTAAAGGTGGCCAGTTGCAAGTTCTCATGCCTAGTCTCGCGATGTTAATAAGGAATCTCATGGTTTGGTTTGCTACCT